AGGTGTCCTTGCGTTATAAAGTTTCAAATAAGACTAGAATGCGCGAGCGTGAATCGATCAAACGTCCTTTTAATTTCTAAGGCTTACTTTCCGGCAAATAAAATGAACTGAATGTAAAAAGTGAAAGAGAAATAGCGAAAAATTCAACTTCTAATTAAATCTTTTCGTATGGTTTAGAATAAACTATTCTCGAAACTGAGAATGTTTTGATCAAAGCTGTGTAAATCGAGCTGAAACTGTGCATGGAACCTTGCGTTTCCTGTATTTATGTCACATATTGTATGGAATATGTGTGAAAATCTTCATTATGAATCGGTATATTTCAAAGAGCTACACAACCAGCAAGAATACTATACTGACCGACAATATACAGAACGGGGCAGCTTTAGTGTCAACTATTACTAGTAGTAGTGAAGACTTAAAGCAAAACTTGGCCATTGCATTGTGGTTCAACTGTCTTTCTTGAAGGATGGTCAATGGTCGTGGTAACTAGCCATCTTACCTGGGGGGAGGGGTGGTCCGTTAGTAGGGAAAGGCGGTTCAGGCGGTGGCTTAGGCGTCGCTGGTGGCTTAAGACCTAAACATCAAATTGACATTAACGTATTCTAAATGATCGTTTGCATTCTGATAACTAATCTAAGCAGAGTATTGCGCCCGAAAAAGGTGCATGCTAATCATTCTTGCGAGCGTAAGTCAGTCCTAAAGCGTAATTTGTTAGCGAAGTGGTCAGAATTGCTATACTCAGACAGGACTCCCAGTTTCAGACTGAAAAGGCCTGGAAACAAGGTTAAGGACTCACAGGTCTCCTGATGGACTGGGGAGCCTGTGTACGCGACCTTTCCGTTTCCGGTACTTGACCCATTAACACCCAGGCTTTACGCGTGTTGAGTTTACATTGCGTGCGTTCTCCTGACGTCGAACGCAATGATAGAGTGTCGTACATAACAAAGGCAAAAAAAACAGTAACTAATCCAGCCAATCAATTTCTGGCAATCAAATTAACCATTCATATGTCGAAGTTTGCGTGGTGTGCGCCAGTCGCAGGAAACAGCACGTCATGAGACAGACTGGTTTTGGTGTTGCTACTTATTGGCTGCATGTTGACGAAATGGCATGAGATTTTTGAGCCAATCACAAAGCGTCTAAATGCACAACCAAGGAAAGTATAGACAAATTTCCTCCGACGCTCAATTGAAACCAATGTTTGAATTTCAGAACGAAGTTACTTACGTCACTAACCCGCAGTTGGCTTAGCAAGAGAGAATCATTCTCTCTTGGGTTTAGCTAGTCGAGGTGAGTTGTCAAAAGTAAGACCTGTAGAATAGCTAGCTCGGACTTGACCTTGATTGTTAAATACAGTTATGTGAGTTAGTTACCTCCACATAGTCTGCAACTCTTTTGACATCTGTACTTGATGAAATCATTTGTTTAAGTTTAGTTTAAGTTTAAGTTTAATAATTCTTTTTACCAATGTACAAAATAAAAATATATATACATATATAAAAGTACAATAGGTAAAGGAAAGCAGTAGGGGGAAACTGAATTCCCATATAAAAACTGCCCTCCAAAACGAAAAGATAAAACAATTAAGAATAGAAAACTTATACATAACTATACATCATGTGATACTAAGAGAAAAAAAAACAAAAACAAACAAACAAACAAAGAAAACAAAAATTTAGTTGTTTTGTCTTTGTTTTTGTTTTTTCCCTCTCCCCTTCCCCTTTTCTTTAATAAACTACTTAGATATTAAATAAAATACTAATACTTAGATAAAATACTAATACTTAGATATTAAATAAAAAAGAAAATCCAGATTCATTAGGAAATAATAAAGATATGACTATTTACAAAGATAATTAAGTAATAAAGTTTTAAAAGAGTTCAAGCTGGAAGCAGACATAACGGAGTTTGGTAAAGAGTTCCAGTCATTAACATAACGATTAAAAAATGAAAATTTAAAATAGTTTGTCCTTGCTGCTCTAGGCCTGATTTTAAAGTCATGGTTTCTCCTAGTTCTTGTCGGGCCAGTCAGATCCACGTATGTGGTATAATCAATATCAGAATAGCCATGAATTATCTTGTAAAGTTGAACGAGGCAAAGGTATTTTCTTCTTAGCTCCAATGTTGACCAGTTTAGTTCAGTGAGCCTTTCGCAGAGTTTCTCTGGTTTATTCACGTAGTTTTGACAGTATGACCATTTGTCGTAGCATAGAGCTGGAAAATAAGATCATTTAGTTGTAGATATGTTTTTAAAGTCACTTAGGACAAGATTTCAGTATTAAAACTTTTTCTAAGCGAAGTATTTGTACGCTTAGTCTGACCCTTATTGGGCCACATATTTCCGGCTTACGCCCTGTAGAACCGCTTTATCTGAATAATCGGCTGAGGCAAGGAGTAGAGCTTTGGAAAGGGTAAATTTCGGATTCTTGAAGTCGAACCTCCCAAACACAAAGATTTAGTGGTCGTTTGGAAGGTTGTCGCTTACGAGAATCGTGACCCAGGGATTCCCTTCATAGAACACATCTACATGTGATTATACAATGATGTGAATGCTACGCGCGCTGTGATTGGTCGTTGCCCATGATCTATTAGAGTACAGATACATGGATGACGTCACGGGAAACTTGTTTTCTTTGTTTTGTTTAACATGGCACGCGGTTTTGAAAATGTTTGTGAGATTATTTCGGATTGAGGCAAGTGAAAGCTTCACAACAGTTGCCATCGTGTGTCTTCGCTACGAGAGACTCGCTGTTTTGCAAAATGTTTTCGCTATTATTCTTCTTTGAGCAAGAAAAGACGGTGAAAAACTTTTCGAAGAAACTGTACACAAGTAAGATAAAGAAGAAGCTAAGCGATGAAAGTTGGGTTTGGGACTTTAAAAAGCCTAAACTAGCACAAATCCTCTAAAGGTCAAGCGGTTCGAGGCAGGTATGTGTATCGGTCTTTTTCTTTTCTGATCATCGATAAAACAAATAGATTCCATGTTGCCGTGGGTCTGTTCAGTAATAGATCACAGAGGACGTCAAAATGTGGTAAAAACAACAGTGACACACTCGCCTGCGGCTCGTGTGCACTTCTTTGTTTTTACGACATTTAATTTGACGTCATCTGTGATCTATTACTGAACAGACGCACGGCAACATGGAATCTATTTGTTAATTTTACAAGAGAATTCGTTACATGAAGTTTTATGGTAGACGATTATACGTACAAATTCATATCGTCACCAAAAGTTCTTTTCTTTCTCTCAGTAGAGCCTGCGTAGTGTAGTACATACAGCGACTATAGAGATCAAAACACCGCTGAAATGTGCTGATTTTCTGAATTCAAACTGTTTTTCGCTGCACCTTTTTCACAAAACTGAAATACCCGCAACCTACATTGTGTCAGTTTCCCCCACGGGACGAAAAATTGGATTTACTGCACTTTTGACACGAGTCAAAAGTTAAGTCAAATATGGTATTGGCTTTGACTTCACCTTTGACGTTCGGTAAATCCGTTTTTTCGTCCCGTGCCCTTACCAGTACTCTCAGCTATTAAGGTAGTTATGATCCCAAGGAAAACTGACAACTTCATGGTTGAGCTCCAGAGAACGTAAATGTACTTGTTGAAGCGCAACTTCAGTGTGATTTTATAAAGAAATCGCACAAAATTTTTGTACTGAATTGTGTTATCCAAAACAAAGCAGCTGGTCATATAGTCTTTTGTTTTGTGGCCAGGGGTGTCTGGAGGAAATAAAATTCTCAAGAGTTTATGTCTGATTATTTATGAAAATAAAACAAAATTTCTCGTTGAGATGTCACATTTTATGACAAGCCGCTTTTGAAACAGGCCAAAATTCGAACAAGTATCTTTTTTACCGTAGCCTCACAGCTTTGTTCAGCTTTTTACATGCTGTTCCAGATCTTTCACGATCGTGATGTTTAATGTATCGATAAACACTTAAATATTTCAGCTATGCACCTGCCACAAAGTTCCAAGATTATTGCAAAAAGAAAAAACAAACAAAGGCTATTAAAGAAACAAAAACAAGAAAAACACGAGACATTAATCCACGCCGAGACCATTCAGGTTTGTACAGTACAGAAAGTGGCTTCTGTTGATTTAGAAGGCAATGAAACTGAGGGCCTTATCACTGTTTCATGCAAGACTGATAACAATTTAATGAATAATATGTTTTTCCTTATCCCTTAAATACCTTTGCGCTGCTTTTATGCTTCACCCACCCACGAAGGGAGTGAAAACTAAGGACAAGAACTTGGACAACCATGATGTGTCTCAATGACTTACAGTGCAGCAGAAAGGCCGATGAATGTTATGAACAATACCGGCTTAACTGTATGGCTTGTCCTTGATGCTATTACACCTGCCCTTCGGTAGATCACTTTAAAGCCAAAGTGAAAAAAATACTTGACAAAGAATTAAAGTATTTGACGTGATTTTTATTTTCTTTCATTTCATGCTCTTTATGCTCTACATGCTGGATAAGTCATTTGCAGCTAACGGACTAACACTGAGACTTCAGAAGATGTTTCAAAAGTCAACTGGTCTTATTTTCATCTCAGCTGTCTTTGCGGAGTAGTTGTGTCCTTTCCATGCACCCCAGTTGACACCATCGGCGCTTGTTTTGTGGTGGCCATGATGGTAGAGGCCATTCAGGTTAGAGGCATGACAGGCCGTATACCACCAGGCTCCTTTATAGCTTACAGCACAGTTGCTGGACCAGCTATCGTTATCTCGGTCTTTAGTCGAGAATGGGTGACCACGATGACCAGAAAGAGAATCGCCTGCAGTTCCTGGGAAAAAAATGACAGAGCTCATTATATATATATTTTTAAGAATTAAAGATTTAAACTACTCTACTCTACTCTACTGAAAAAACGGAGTGAAGATCACAGTTACTCAATAAATCGAACGGTCAATAAAAAAAAGAAAGCTAGCGAAAGTCAGTTCGACTTGTCAAAATTAAGCACTTTCAAGAAACGAAACAAGTCAAA